CATTAAATATCAAGGTGGTTAGGAAATAGCAAGAACTGCAGATGCTGGAAGTCAGAGTCGATACAGAGTGGAGCTGGAGGTACACAGTAGGTCAGACAGCATCAGAGGAACAGGAAAGTCGACATTTCAGGTCGGGACCCTTCAAGTGGTTAGATTGTGTCTTATTGGAGATGGCCATTGGCTGGCATTTGTGTGGTGTGCATGTTACTTGCCACTTTTCAGCCCAAACCTGGATATTGTCCAGGTCTTGATGCATTTGAACATGGACTGCTTCAGTATCTGAGTCGTCATGAATGATGCTGAACATGGTGCAATCATGAGCAAACAACCCCACATCTGACCTTATGATGGAGGGAAGGTCATTGATGAAGCAGCTGAAGATGGTTGCATCGGGGGCACTATCCTGAGGAGCTCCTGCACAGATGCCCTTGAGCTGAGATGAGTGACCTCCAATAACTACAACCATGTTCTCATGTGCCAGATATGACTCTAACCAGCAGAAAGTTTGTCCCCGATATCCACTGATTACAGTTTTCCAGTTCCTTGACACCACACACAGTCAAACGTGGTCTTGGTGGCAAGGGCTCACCTTGACATCACCCCTCACCTCACCTCTCAAATTCAGTGCTTTTGTCCATGTTTAAATCATGGATGTAATGAGGTCAGGAGCTGAGTGGCACCAACAGAATGCAAACTGGATGTCAACAAGGAGGTAATTACTGAGCATGTCCTGCTTGATAGCACTGTTGGTTGACACCTTCCATCACTTTATTGATAATCAGAAAGTAGACTGATGGAGCGGTAAATAGTCACGTTTGATTTGTCCTGCTTCTTGTAGTGCTAGTGTTGTAACTGTACTGGAAAAGCACCATTTCCCTACTAATACCGATTATTCAGGAAGGAAGCAATTGATAAACCAGGAAACTACAGGTTTTACCTCAGTCAGTCTTACCTCAATGGTGACAAAACTACTAGAAGTATTTCTGGGGATCAGAATTAATTTGTATTTGAAGAGGCTGGGGTTAATCAAGGCAATGTCATGCCTGACCAATGCAATTGAATCTTTCAAAGAGGTGACCAGATGTGTGGATGAGGGCAATGCTTTTGACGTAGCCCACTTGGAATTCAGCAAGGCTTTGATAAAGTTTGCCATACAGACTGATGGCAAAGGCTCGGGATTCCTTGGGATTGAAGAAAATTTAGCAAACTGGATCTACAATTGGCTGAGTGGCAGGAAGCAGAGGGTGATGATTGGTGGTGGTGGTCAGGTTACAGGAGGATATTGATGGGCTGATCAATGGCAAAGGCAAGGCGACGGCACAGTGGTATTAGTGCTAAACTATTAGTCTAGAGACGCCAGTAATGTTGTCGACACCTGGGTTTCAATCCAAATCTGTTCATTGAATTCAAATTCCACCATTTGCCATGGCAGGACCCAGATGCGAATCCTACCATGAATTCAATAAAAATCTGGAATTAAGAGTCTGATGATGACCACGAACCCATTGGTGAACCAGATGGGTTTTTCCGACAATCGGCAATGTCCTTTAGGGAAGGAAACAGCCATCCTTACCTGGTCTGGAAAATATGTGACTTTAGACCCACAGACAGGGAGGTCACGTTAGAACAGTATAAAATGTGGTTAGGGCACAGCTAGAGTACTGTGTGAGATTCTGAAATCCACATAAGAGTGATAACACTGGAGAGGGTGCAGAGGAGATTTAACAATATGTTGCCTGGTCTGAAAAGTTAAAAAGAGAGATTGGACAGACTGATGTTGTTCTCCTTAGAGCAGAGGAGAGTGACAGCGGACATGATTGAGATGTATAAAATTATAAAGGACATGGATAAGGTAAACTGGAAGTGACATTTCCCTTTGATGGAGGGATCAGTGACCAGGGGGCACAGGTTTAAGGTAAGTGGCAGAAGGTTTAGAGGAGAATTGAGACCAAAACATTGAATGTTTTTATAACTGGGTGATGATGATGCCATCACATAGGCAGAGTAAATGGTCGAGCTTTCTAGAAACACAGAAACCAGGAGCAGGAGTAGGCTATTTTGTCCTTCAAGCTTGCGCTGCCATTCAATACTATTATGGCTAATTATCTGTCTCAATGTTATATTCCCAGTCTCTTCCCATAACTGTTGGATGCCTTTAAAATCTATAAATTTATCTGTCTCGCTTTTAAGTATGTTCAGTGAATTGGTCTCCAAATCTTCTGTGTTGCAGAATTCCACAGGTTAACTACGCTTAAGTGAAGCGCATCTCAGTCCTAAATGGTCTACCTTGTATCCTGAGACTGTGATCTCTGCTTCTAAATTCTCCAACCAGGAAAATATCCTCCCTGCATCTCATCTGTCCAGCCATAATACTGCTATCATCTCCAGTATCAGTCTCTTGAACCTCCAACACACTATGGCAAGTGTATCTTTTCTCAAGTCCGGAGACCAACTCTGCAAGCAAATTCTTCAGTAAAATGTTAACAAGACATCGCTAGTTCTGAACGCAACTCCTCTGGCAATGAAGATGAACATGCATTTGCCTTCTTAATTATTTTCTGCACCTACTTGTCTACTTTCATTGACTAGTGTATAAGGACAGCGAGATCCTTTCCTACATTAACAGTTCCCAATACTTCATTTAAATACATCTTTTGTCTTTCAAACCAAAATGTACAAGTTGTCATTTAGCCACATTGTACTGCATCTGCTATGTGTTTGCCTACTCACTTGACCTAAAATCGCTTTAAAGCTTCCTTACATCCTGAACTCATATTCCCATCTAGTTTTGTGTCACTAGCAAATGTGGAAATATTGCATTTTTCCCTAATCCAGGTCACTCATATATATCTACACACATACTAGTCACTGACTGACACTTGGGGAAAGAAGAACCATTTATTCCCACTCTGTTTCCTGTCTGTCAACCAATTCTCACTGTAATATGACATATTATTGCACCTAAAGCACAGGAAAATTGAAATGGGTAACAAAGAAATGGCAGAAGAATTGAACACTTAGTTTGGCTCTGTCATCACAAAAAGGAACACAAATAACCTCCCAGAAGTGTCAGGAAACCAGGTCTATATTTACTAGCATTTAGAAGGATAAGGAGGATCTGTTTGAATTTGCTTCAAACTTTACCCAAGTACCTCATGAGGGACCTTATCAAAAGCATTCTGAAAATTCAAATACACTGCATCCACTGGTTCTCCTTTATCTATTCCACTAGTTACGTTCTTAAAAAAACTCCGATGGATTTGTTAAGCATGTTTTACTTTCCATAAGCCCATTACTGGCTTTGTCCAATCCTGTTAATGCATTCTGCACATTCTGTCATCATGTCTTTAATATACTGTAGCATTTTCACTTGTCTGTCATGGTCAGTTTCCTCTGTCCCTTTTTAAATAGTGGGGTTTCATCTGTCACCCTCTAATCTGTAGGAACTTGCCTACAGTCTACAGAATTTTGGAAGATAACCATCAATATATCTAATATTTCCAGGGTCACTTCATTTGGTGCTATCAGATGTAGATTATTAGGCCCTGGAGATTTGTTTGCTTTTAAATCCATTAAATTCCCCAGCACCATTTTCTTCTTGAAACTAATTTCTTTCAATTCTGCCTCTCACAAGACCCTTAGTTCCTTGAAATTTCTGGGCGGTTATGTGCATTCTTCTTGTGAGAGCCGAACTAAGTGTTCAATCCTTCTGCCATTTCTTTGTTTCTCATTACAGTTTCCCTGCCTTCTGACATTTGCCTTCATCTTTTTCCTATTCACATATTTATAGGAGCTTTTATGATCAATTTTTAATATTCCGTGTAAGTTTAATCTCATTCTCTATTTTCCCCTCTTCATCAATCTTGTTGTCCTCTTTTGCTGAGTTCTAAGCTGCTTCCAATCCTCAGGCTTGTTGCTTTTCTGACAATTTTACATCACTCCTCTCCTCCGCATAGTTGAGCCTCCTTTCCTCTTATTTTTGCATCAGACACAGTTGAACAACAGTTGAATTCATGCATACATTCTTTAAATATGAGCCATTGTCTAGCCACTACCATCTCTTTCAGGCTTCTCAATCCTTCCTTTCATTTTCTCTTCTGAGATCACCATTATCTGGTAATTTTGTGGCATGAACATTGTCTGACAATTGTCAGTCCACAGCTGATGTTATTCAGATCTTGGAATTGGGGCCCTCTTGTGGTGCGGTGGTATCATAGAATAGAATTATAGAATCTCTGCAGTGTGGGAGCTGGCCATTCGGCTCATCAAGTCCACACCACCCCTCCAAAGAGCATTCCACCCAGACCCACCCTCCTATTCTACCCTATCCCCATAACCCTGCATTTCTCATGGCGAACCCACCTGCCTGCAAATCCCTGGGCAATTTAGCATGGCCAATCCACCTAACTCGCACATCTTCAGAGTGTGGGAGGAAACTGGAGCACCCGGAGGAAACCCACGTAGACACAGGGAGAATGTGTAAACTCCACACAGACAGTTGCCCTCAGGTGGAGTTGAACCTGGTCCATGGCACTGTGAGGCAGCAGTGCTAACCACTGAGCCACTGTGTCCCCCAGTGTCCCTACCCCTGGATTGGGAGACCTGGGCTCAAGTTCCACCTGCGTCAGTGGTGTATAATAACATCTCCAAACAGATTGATTAAGAAAAATAGGTTAAATAAAAATTCAAGGATAGTGAGAGGGCATTCTTATGACGCAACAGTGGTGTCCCAAGTCCTAGTCTGAGAGGTACACAATAACATCTCTGAGCATGCTGATAAGCAAATATCTCAAGGATAGTGATAATCACAGGAGATTTTTGGAGCTAGCCAGAGCAGTGATTAAGATGTTGATTGTTGATAGGCAATATGAAAAATTTCAGTGAGAAATTATATACAAATATCAGGATGAATCTTGCTCTCAACAGTCCATAGCCAAATTCAAACCCAGTTATCCATTAATCTACATCATCCGCAATTAATAATAATCGAACAGTCTCACCTGGACGACCTCCTCTCCCTGAAGTGCCTCAATCTGCCGAGGTCTGCGCTGTCGATCACTATTTCCATGGCCCAGTTTCCCATAATCCCCATCACCCCAACTGAAGACTTCGCCACTTTCTGTCAAAGCCATAGAGTGACCATCGGATCCACAAGAAGTCACCAGCTGCGTTACTACAAAACCTGTAGCGCACACAAAAGCAATGAGAATCACATCAAAGGAAATGTGGTTATTGGCAATTTCACTGATTGACAAAAACCTATTTTTAGATGTTAAAACAAAGAACAGGATGCTGGGGATTTGAAACACACAAACCGTAATTGCTAGAGGAAAACAGCATTTCTTGCAACATCTCTTGACAGAAAACAAAGTTAATGTTTTGAGTCGAGTGATCTTTGTGTGACCTTTGGACTTTCATTTGCTGAGTTTCTCCAGTAATTTCCATTTTTGTGTTTCAGACCATTCTGAAGGGTCACTAGACTTGAAACGTTAACTGTTTCCTTTCCACAGATGCTGTTAGACCTGCTGAATTTCTCCAAAAAATTTGTACTTGTCTTCAAGAATTTATTTTTAAACTGTAATAGCTCTAGATTTCCCCTAATAAGCCTGTGTACCTTGTAATGATGAAATGACAGTCAATACATGAAGATCATCTGAATTTCCTTGACCAAGCCGACCATAGCTTCCTTCCCCACATGCCATTACTGTTCCATTAGCCTGGATAACAAAAGTGCAATTCTGCCCACAAATTACCTGCGATAGCAAACAAAGTAAATAAAATTATTGAAAACGTTCAAGTGGCAATGTTTGTCAGCGAGCTGAAACACCTTTTATTTCCAATCAACTCTAGATTAAATCTCAGCAGTGATCCAAAAATTAAGATGGAAAAGCTGAACTTTTCCATTGTTGCCACAGAATTATCACTTGCTTTCCATTTTAAAAATCACAAACATGGTCATAATAGTAGAGCTATGGAACATGAATCCTCTCAAGGTCTATAAACAGTAAATTTGTTTAAGTCAGCATGATACCAAACTCACTTCAGTGTAAACCAAGACACTTGAGTCTAATGATTTAATGTTTAGAAATTCAAGGTCAAGATCCTTCAATCAACTTTGCACATTTTTGTAGCAATCCTTACTTGAAGTTCTACTTTAATAATTTTCTTGTAATTGCACCGTGGACTTACACTCCAACAATTTAAATTCAAATACTAATCTAATAATTTTATCATACCTGCTGAGCTTGTGAAAATGAAGGCGCAGCAGTTGGTACCATTACATTCCTTCCTGCTTCTGCCAACTGCCCGTGACGCCCTGCTCCCCAAAGATAGACATCACATTTTCCACCAAGGTGCCAGTCCTAAACAAGTGTGACAGATGATTTTAACCTTTGCACACCATTAAACAAATGTTTGGAATGTATGAGCAAAAAGTACTTAAATTACCTCTGGCCGTGAAGATGCCCAGGACATAATTTGTTCATCCATTCCTGCAAACCATTTACTATTATCCTATAATTGAAAACAATGAAAGTATTCATGAAGCACATGCAGGTCTCCATTTTTATTCATAGAATCATACAGCACAGAAAAGGCCCTTCAGTCCATCGCATCTGCACTGACATAACTACCTACTAAAGGCAGGGGGTGGTGGCTTGTTAGTAATTCTGTTAATTTGTTCATTGTTGGGGTTAAATAAATAAATTGTTTCTTGTTAATTGTAAAAGGGATCAGGGATTTTCTTTCTGTTAACCATTCTTAACTGATTATGAGGGGAAAGCTGAGCTGGGTGTTTCGGGGGTAATTATTAGAAGGGAACCTCTACTCCATTTTTAGCAGCAGCAGCAGCGGGAGCAGTGACAGCGAGGACCAGGGGGCTGCTGGGAGGTAAGTTTCCCAGTTAAAAACTTACCTCGTGCAATCAGTGGCCTCCATTTTTTGCAGCAGCAGCAGCGGGATCAGTGAGAGCAAAGACCAGGGGGCTGCCGGGAGGAAAGTTCTTCATTTCGGCAGCGGAGCTGAGTGGGAGCGGTCGAACTGCGCTCTCGGAAGGTGAGTGAACGGATATATTTGGGCAGTGGCTAAACCAAAGATACTACACGTGTAGTGTCTCCCATCCACCCTCCTCCTCTGGCCAAAAAAAGAAGACTCTGGTGTGTTGATAAGGTAAGTGTTTTTCTTTTTGTTTTCTTTTTGTTTATTTTATCGTGTGCTGGTAAGTAGAATGATTTGGTACAAATTTTTTTCATTTCATTTATCTAGTTGTGGATATTATAGCAGCACTAAGTTAAGATTAAGAGTAAAAATGGCAGGAGATCCCAGACCTGTGTTATGCTCCTCTTGCTCAATGTGGGAGCTCAGGGACACAGCTGATGTCCCGGACTCCTACACGTGCAAGAAGTGTGTCCAGCTGCAGCTCTTGTTAGACCGCATGACGGCTCTGGAGCTGCAGATGGACTCACTTTGGAGCATCTGCGATGCTGAGGAAGTCATGGATAGCACGTTCAGCAAATTGGTCACACCGCAGATTAGGTTTGCTGAGGGAGAAAGGGAATGGGTGACCAAAAGGCAGAAAGAAAAAAGCAGGAAGGCAGTGCAGGTGTCCCCTGCGGTCATCTCCCTCCAAAACAGGTATACCGTTTTGGATACTGTTGGGGGAGATGGCTCACCAGGGGAAGGCAGCAGTAGCCAGGTTCATGGCACTGTGGCTACCTCTGCTGTACAGAAGGGCAGGAAAAAGAGTGGAACGGCAATAGTCATAGGGGATTCGATTGTAAGGGGAGTACATAGGTGGTTCTGTGGTTGAAAACGAGACTCCCGAATGGTATGTTGCCTCCCAGGTGCACGGGTCAGGGATGTCTCAGATCGACTGCAGGACATTCTGAAGGGGGAGGGTGAATAGCCAGCTGTCGTGGTGCACATAGGCACCAATGATATCGGTAAAAAAACAGGATGAGGTCCTACAAGCAAAATTTAAGGAGTTAGGAGCCAAGTTAAAAAGTAGGACCTCAGAGGTAGTAATCTCAGGATTGCGACCAGTGCCACGTGCTAGTCAGAGTAGAAATGAAAGAATAGGCAGGTTAAATGAGTGGCTTAAGAGATAGTGCAGGAGGGAGGGGTTCAGATTTTTGGGACATTAGGACCGGTTCTGGGGGAGGTGGGACTATTACAAATCGGACGGTCTACACCTGGGCAGGACTGGATCCAATGTCCTAGGGGCTGCTTTTGCTAACGCTGTTGGGGAGGGTTTAAACTGATGTGGCAGGGGGATGGGAACCAAACGAGGAGGTGAGTGGACAGTAAGGAGGTAGTAACTAAAGTCTGTAAGGAACGAGGTAATGAAGTCAGCGTGACTAAGGGGAAGAGTAGGCAGAGAGCAGATGATGAATGCAAAGGGACAGGTGGTCTGAGGTGCATTTATTTTAATGCGAGAAGTGCAGTAGGTAAGGCAGATGAACTTAGGGCTTGGATTCGTACCTAGCGGTATGATGTTATTGCTATTACTGAGACTTGGTTGAGGGGAGGGCAAGATTGGCAACTAAATATCCCAGGATATAGATGCTTCAGGCAGGATAGAGAGGGAGGTAAAAGGGGTGGAGGAGTTGCATTACGGTCAAAGAGGATATTACAGCTGTGTTGAAGGAGGGCACTATGGAGGACTCGAGCAGTGAGGCAATATGGGCAGAGCTCAAATAGGAAGGGTGCGGTAACAATGTTGGGGCGGTACTACAGGCCTCCCAACAGCGAGCGTGAGATAGAGGTACAAACATGTAGACAGATTATGGAAAGATGTAGGAGCAACAGGGTGGTGGTGATGGGAGATTTTAATTTTCCCAACATTGACTGGGATTCACTTAGTGTTGGGGGTTTAGATGGAGCAGAATTTGTAAGGAGCATCCAGGAGGGTTTTCCAGAGCAGTATATAAATAGTCCAACTCGGGAAGGGGCCATACTGGACCTGGTGTTGGGGAATGAGCGCGGCCAGGTGGTTGAAGTTTCAGTAGGGGATTACTTTGGGAACAGTGATCACGATTCCGTAAGGTTTAGAATGCTCATGGAAAAAGACGAGAGTGGTCCTAAAGGAAGAGTGCTGAATTGGGGAAAGGCCAACTATAGCAAAATTCGGCAGGAGCTGGGGAATGTGGATTGGGAGCAGCTATTTGAGGGTAAATCCACATTTGATATGTGGGAGGCTTTTAAAGAGAGGTTGATTAGAGTGCAGGACAGACATGTCCCTGTGAAAATGAGGGATAGAAAGGGCAAGATTAGGGAACCATGGATGACAGGTGAAATTGTGAGATTAGCAAAGAGGAAAAAGGAAGCATACAAAGGTCTAGGTGACTGAAAACAGACGAAGCTTTGGAAAAATATCGGGAAAGTAGGACCAATCTGAAACGAGGAATTAAGAGGGCTAAAATGGGTCATGAAATATCTTTAGCAAACAGGGTTAAGGAAAATCCCAAAGCTAAGGAGCAAGAGGGTAACTAGAGAAAGGGTTGGCCCACTCAAGGACAAAGGAGGGAAGTTATGCGAGGTGTCAGAGAAAATGAGTGAGATTCTTAATGAGTACTTTGCGTCGGTATTCACCGAGGAGAGGGACATGACGGATGTTGAGGTTAGGGATAGATGTTTGATTACTCTTGGTCAAGTTGGCATGAGGAAGGGGGAAATGTTGGGTATTCTAAAAGACATTAGGGTGGACAGGTCCCCAGGTCCGGATGGGATCTATCCCAGGTTACTGAGGGAAGCGAGAGAGGAAATAGCTAGGGCCTTAACAGATATCTTTGCAGCATCCTTAAGCACGGGTGAGGTCCCGGAGGACTGGAGAATTGCTAATGTTGTCCCCTTGTTTAAGAAGGGTAGCAAGGATAATCCAGGTAATTATAGAACAGTGTGCCTGACGTCAGTGGTGGGGAAGCTGCTGGAGAAGATACTGAGGGATAGGATCTATTTACATTTGGAAGAAAATGGGCTTATTAGTGATCGGCAGCATGATTTTGTGCAGGGAAGGTCATGTCTTACCAACTTGATAGAATTCTTTGAGGAAGTGACAAAGTTGATAGATGAGGGAAGGGCTGTGGATGTCATATACATGGACTTCAGTAAGGTGTTTGATAAGGCTCCCCACGGTAGGCTGATGGAGAAAGTGAAGTCGCATGGGGTCCAGGGTGTACTAGCTGGATGGATAGAGAACTGGCTGGGTTACAGGAGTCAAAGTTGTAGTGGAAGGGAGTTTCTCAAAATGGAGAACTGTGATCAGTGGTGTTCCACAGGGATCTGTGTTGGGACCACTGTTGTTTGTGATATACATAAATGATCTGGAGGAAGGTATAGATGGTCTGATTAGCAAGTTTGCAGAGGACACTAAGATTGGTGGAGTAGCAGATAGTGAAGGAGACTGTCGGAGGATGCGGCGGAGAAATGGCAGATGGAGTTCAATCCAGGCAAATGCAAGGTGATGCATTTTGGAAGATCCAATTCAATAGCGAACTATACAGTAAATGGAACAGCTCTGGGGAAAATTGATAGAGATCTGGGTGTTCAGGTCCATTGTACCCTGAAGGTGGCAACGCAGGTTGATCGAGTGGTCAAGGCGGCATACGGCATGCTTTCATTCATCGGATGGGGTATTGAGTACAAGAGTTGGCAGGCCACGTTACAGTTGTATAGGACTTTGGTTCGACACATTTGGAATACTGCGTAAAGTTCTGGTCGTCACATTACCAAAAGGATGTGGATGCTTTGGAGAGGGTGCAGAGGACGTTCATCAGGATGTTGCCTGGTATGGAAGGCGCTAACTATGAAGAGAGGTTGAGTAGATTAGTTATTTACATTAGAAAGACGGAGGTTGAGGGGGGACCTGATTGAGGTCTACAAAATCATGAGAGGTATAGACAGGGTGGATAGCAAGAAGCTTTTTCCCCAGAGTGGTGGACTCAATTACTAGGGGTCACGATTTCAAGGTGAGAGGGGAAAAGTTTGAGAGATATGCGTGGAAAGTTCTTTACGCAGAGGGTGATGGGTGACTGGAACGCGTTGCCAGCGGAGGTGGTAGAGGCGGGCACGATAGCATCATTTAAGATGTATCTAGACAGATACATGAATGGGCAGTGAGCAGAAGGATACAGATCCTTGGAAAATAGGCGACAGGTTTAGATAGAGGATCTGGATCGGCGCAGGCTTGGAGGGCCGGAGGGCCTGTTCCTGTGCTGTAATTTTCTTTGTTCTGTCATAACAGATTGGGGCTTGTGTTTTGGTTTAATTATCAGAGGGGTTTGGCCATTCCCCATCCTAACAATATCCTTGAATATTATGATATTTGCAGTGCTTGTCCAATTTTTTTTTTTGAAAGGTTGCAAGGTATCCAGCTTCCACTACTTTTCCACGCAGTGCATTTCAGATTCCCACCACCCGCTGAGTGAAAAGTTTATTCTCAAATTCCCTCTGAATCTACTGCCCCTTACCCTAAAACTAGGCCCTCTCATGACTTAACCCCTCAACCAAGGGGATCA